TTCCCTTTACTCGCGCCTCTCCTAAAAAATGCTTTTTTGAAATCGAAATACAAACACCCCTCAAATTCCTATTCTTAGCATTCTAGTTTATCGTGAATATCACGTTCCGAATTTTCATTCAACGGGAGTCAAAATTACCAAGTTGTTAAGGTTTTAAGTCAATACCATTAAAGAATGTTCGGTATTCATTTGAAATTTCCCAGATTAAGACTGGATTAGGTACAAGTTGTCATTACTCAAGAATAGTAAATGAAAACTCATAAATAGTTTTTGAAGAAAATTGCAATTCTATGATACAAACCCTGTGTAATGTAACTGCATGATACAAAGATTTCGTAGATTGCAAAAAGAAATTTTGTTAGAATAATTTTCTCAACGCAATCACAGCCTCCGAGGAAGAAGGGGGTCGCTGGGGCATTGCCTCCAAATTTCATGCATTTTGGTCTTTAATTGTCTCCCATACTTTGCAATTTACGTTTGAGCTCCTGGCAAAACAAACAAAACTTTGCTGATAAACCTAGACTTCTGTATCATACTGTAATATTTCACAAGCTTTTCAATTACACTTCATCATAGCCTTAGAGGTCTGGAACTAGACTTGATTTCCCGCCAAGATTAAATTTCTCACGTCATGCACGTAAATACGAGAAGCTTCTCAACAAAAGCAAAAACGGCAAGTTTGTCTGGCAATTTTTGTACGTATTCTTTAAATTCAAATTGTTACCGAACATTTAATTTGTAATTGTGATTTTTCGGTAACCGCTAAAGCACAAACAGAAATTAAATATACTTAGCAAAGAATAATGGACAAGCAACATAATTCAGAGAGTGTTGTGGCTTACGAGAATGATGAAGCTCCACCAATTCCACGCGACAAAAAGAGGTAAGTATTCAAAACCTAAAGAAAGTATAACTGAATTCAAACAGGACAATTAATACATGGCTTTTGGAATCGTGGCTAGCACTGCTCCCTTCAATTCAGCTGGGGCGCAAATTGATCATTGGGAGGGTAAAGGGTAGGACATTTCCGACTGACAATAATTTTTCATTTCGTAATAAAACTCTATCAAGCCTTTACTTACAGACCCTTATCATTTTAGGGTCTTGTCATTGCCTATCTAAATCGAGAGAATTCTTGTCAATAGCGTTATGTAATATTATTTTCTAACGTAAATAAGCACTGGAGTTAGGATTTTTCAACTACTTCCTAGTTTTCCCCCTACTTATTCAAATATTTTTAAAGATAAGAGGGTGTGTCATCCCCAGCACCCGGCATTTTTATGCCTCCAAGTCAGCAGTAGGAAAGCTTGGTTCATGCACGTTAGCAAAGCCCGTAAGCATGAAAGGTCTTTAATAAGTCTTTGACCATAGTTAACTGCGATGTTACCCCGCTGGTCAGCAGCCCTATAGTCCTTAAAACTAAAACTCTTGAAGAAAATTGCTTCACTTACTGTTTGATATGCACGGTAAAGACAGGTTTAATACATTTCATTTCATTTCATTCAATCTTAAATACAATTCAAACTCTACAATTAAGATACATTACAACACTAAGAACTAAAAACTAACAACTTTAAAAACAAATGAAAAAAATTACTTTACGTGATTGGATTTAAGATTGAATGATTAAGGAGGAGCCCTCTAAGTAGGTAAACTAATCGAGAGAGAGCCCCCCCTCCCCCCCCCCGTAAAAAACAAAGAACCAAAAGTTATTTAAGAACAAAGGCAGTACATATTAACCAAGAACCAGATGAATCTCATGGGATAGATCATATGTGTTTAATTAAAGTTTAGTTTTGTTAATATGAATCAAGAAGGTAACTTTTTAATTTTGAGCGAAAAACCACAGTAGAGCTAGCAACACGTATAAATAGTGGAAGAGTGTTCCAAAGTTTTGAACCAAAGTTTTGAACCTATTTGACTTGTAGAACAGAAACTGGCTTTCTTGCATTGCATGGCCAGAATGACCCAGTGCCACTACCACCATCAATTGGCCTGCTTCTCTTTGCTTTGTATCAAACACAATACATCACGATAGTAGGAGTGAATACCATTTCTATCTTTATTTTATACAAGGATGAGAACTTTTTTTAGTTTGGGTATTCATAATGTTAGCCAGGCATAGTTTTGAAAGATTAGTAGCAGTTACAGATTTGTATTATATAGTTAAAGAAGACAAACCTCATATTGCATATTTCATATAAAATATGTAATATACAGTAAGGCTATGTTTTGGAAAGTTCTTAGACAAATAAGAATATCTAACAAGGTTAGAGATCTAGTCTCTAAAAGACAGCTTTTAATTAAAAGAAACAGCTAGAAACAATTGATTTGCTTTTGGAGGGTCAATCAATAACTTACAAACACAGTAAATTGCATTACACTTCATTGCCAGTTGATCAATCAGGCAGCCAGCTTTGACATGTTGAGCGGGATCAGCTAAAAAAGAATCAAAGTAGCTGTCCAGCTTATTGACGAGACCTTGTAGCATTATATCGTACATCTTTCGAGCATATGCATTTCTTTCCTTATGTGATTAATTTTTCCGATTTTTCTGGTATGAGACCTGTCTATAATATCCGATCAGCATCGTTCATCAATTCTTGTTATGCATTGGCAATGCCTAAAGCTCCGTCTACACTGCAATAATCTACCTAGGCTTAGCTCGGATTCAGTTACCCAGGAAAAGCACAACCATTTGTTTCACTAACCCAAAATAAAAGGAGCAGCATAAACGATAAAATGTGTTGAACGTGGATCACTTTTAAAACGGTGCTTACACACAGATAAACAGAAAAAGAATCAGACATTAGTACCTATGCGTCACAGCAAATAAAATATAGTACCATTGGGCTCGATCCTTTAGTGCATGTCCTGACACAATGAAAAGTCTTATCTAAACATACCCCAGGCTCAACTCACTCCAAAAGGTGGGTTATCTTAACCAGTGTTCAACCTGGATGAGTGGCGCTTACAACATTTTAACCTGGGTTCGTTTGACCTGTTTTATTCGATCTGCGTCAATATCTAAGGGAAGACTTAGAAAAAGCACGCTAGAATAAAAATATCACGTAGTCTTTATATCAAGCTGAGGCTAGTGTAAAACAAAAGTAAATTAGTTACGCTAGGGAAATAGTCTATACTTTGTCTTCCAATCACTGCAGAAAGATTCAATTTTAGCAAAACAGCTCTTGTCAGGAATGATCGAACTGATTCTTATTGTTTTATTAAGACTCCACATATGATCAATAACATTTCACAATTTTATTTTTGATTCAATACAATCCACCATCAATACGATTCAAGTTACGTGCTACACTATCACTGATTAATTGTATCTTCTTCTAATCTTCACGGTTGCCTAGGAAAACGCTGAATGTGTCTGACAGTTGCTTTCTTATTGGTCAATGAAATGCAGATTTGTTGGAGATACGTACATAATTTAGAGGTTCACAAGAACTGAGACAGACCTATCTAACAGTTTGTATAACATCCGTGGTCACGGTAAAAAGGCGGTTTAAATCGGGCTTTACTTTACCCTAAGCAATTTGCAAACCACTGTCAGAGGCAAGAATTAATTTAAAGTGCAGTGATGACCACTTTGTACAGTGACGAATTGAAAATATGCAGTGATGAACTGACAAATGTACAGTGATGAATTTCTTCACTTTTCAGTTTGTAACATTCCAAAAATACTACTGATTCGGATGTTTTCAGAATAAAGACAAATGAATACAAATTATCATCTAGAATCAAATGAGATAATGGAATCAAGCTATGAGTAAAACTCAAATAAATGAAAACAATATACAGTTAGTCACAAACACACTTGCAAACGATATTTCTTGTAGATCAGACTTAGTAGAGGATCTTCACCCAATACCGGAAGAAGCACCTTTCCCTGTAAAATGCTATTCACCTACTGTAACCTCATTCATTTCATTTCATTCATTATCAATAAATCCCAAATACAATTCATAC